TTGGTGTGTACCCAGCTTAACTGCGTCTCTGTGATGGCGAAAATGCCGATGTTCTGAATTTCATCACCTCCTCGCCTCTCTTTCTGTCTGAAACTTCACCCAGGTGTAATCCTACATCTCACAGGCACGCTGCTGAACTGTGATTCTCATCAGAATCACATCCAGTTTGTGATTTATATCCCCCAACATCACAATCTGTGTGTTTCCAGTACGGGAAGCTGGAATGTAGTCTGGGTTCTTTCCATCACACTGAATGGTGAGATAAAGAACATCTTGTTCTGTGGTTCTTTTTGTTAGACTGTTTGGTTGTTTGGTACTCTTGTGTCTTATTTTCTGCTGTCCTGTCAGTTTTCTGTTACCTGTGTTATGTCATCCTCAGTCAGCTTCTTAGTGTTTTTCCAGCCTGCCACTCACACCTGTCCATAGTCTGTAATCACCCAAGCTCCTCCACTCCCCAATCACCCTCAGTTGTTTTTAGCCGGTCTCCTGTCTCCATTGCCCCAGTGCATCAGTGCCTTACTTCCTGCTCCAAGCCTGGTTTTCAGCAGTATGTTTTAGTCTTTTGCTGCCATGTCAGCTTTTTCTTTTGTTTTTAAGAAACCAGTTTTTGTTTTTACATTCAAGCCCTTGTGTCTGCCTGCATTTTGGGTTCCACCTTCCAACAAACCTGACAGGATAGCAGCCTTCTAGGACCAGGATTACCCACCCCAGGTCTACAGACTCAGCTTGTCTGTAGACAGTTAGGTGGTGCCGTACGGTGACGCCCCTTACTTTGTGGTAGATCTTTAACCAGTGGACCTTTCTGTTACTCTGACAGTTGTATGATTTCCCTGTTTCCTTGATCTTAGCTTGTAGCCTCCGTCCCCAAGGGAGACCATGCTTCTTATCAGTTGTAGGTTTAAGCCGAATATTTCAAGAAAACTGTTGCTATGATGTAGACTTGTTTATTGGTCTCTGTGATGGAACCAGTAGAGTATAGTAGTAGATCTGTCATAGTCTTTGTTTATTCTCCTTAGTTTTCCTAGTGTTTTCTATGTTCCCCAGTGTGTCTTTGCCCAGCTGCCCMACATTTACCTTGATTGTCACCCTTGTGTTTCTCCTCAGGTGTTTTGTGTTTCAGTCATTAGTCTTCTGTGTATTTAAACCCTGTCCTGTCTCAGTCTTGTGTCGGATCATTGTTTGTTATGGTTCTCTGTGCTTTGTCCCCTGCCTGTGTGATCTCCGTGGTTTTTGTAAGTTGAGCTGTCCTTACAGCAGTTTTTGTTATCCCTTAATAAATTTTTGTAATACTTTTTGAGCCTGCCTGCACCCTGGGTTTGTTCCTGCCAGTTTCCCTCAAGATCTGTGTCAACAACATACTTTATCAGTTAGCCTTGGCAAAGAGGTGCAGGTCATTGATATCTAGCTTGCTCACAATTCCCATTCCCAGATCAGCTGCTTGTTCTGAAAGTCTGAAAATCTGATTCAAATTCAGTCAAACATTTCTGCCAGTGCAGTAAGAGAATTTTACTTTGTAAGATTCTTGAAATGAGAAAAAAATGAGTCAAATCAAGTATTTCAAGAATCTTACCAAGTAAAATTTTCTTACTTCATTGGCAGAAATTTTGACTTAATTTGACAAATTTTCAGACTAACAAGACAAATAATCTTACACATTGTGAAAACAAGATGATTATTCTTACACAATCAGTTCTTGTTTAGTAAATCAGTCTGAAAACAAGATCAAAAAGACTTTTTGGCTGATACAAGGTTTTAAAACTTGGTTAGGTGGACAGTTTTTACAGTGTATGTTGAGAAATGTTCTTTAAAGGGCCAGTATTGTGTGTTTCTCAGGCATATATTTAAATACTATACCATAATAAAGTATCTATGTCACCTTTATTTGTTATAATGCTGTTTTTATGTTTAAATAGAAAATAAACTTATCTTATCACTTCCTCTTCTAAACGCCATGAAATTGGACTCTGTCTCTTTAAGAACCACCTTCTGCTTCTGTCCTGCCCATTTCAGCACGGGGGGTTCGCACGTGGGGGGGGCATGATGAATTTTATTTGGCATCTGAAAATACATTTCCTCAAAGGTATTTTGAATCTGAAAAGAGCTTCACTGAGTGAGAAGTGTTAAGAGAAACAGACAGTTAAGTTTCACTTTCACTTTGCTCTGTTACTGCCAAGAGCCTGCAGGAGTCATGGGTGGGGTGTGGGGGGCGGGGGGCTACCATGAGGAAGTTCAGCTTAAAGACACGTCCCAGAGGTGTTTCTGGTACCAAAAGGTGTTTCTGGTCCCAAAAGGTGTTTCTGGTCCCAAAAGGTGTTTCTGGTCCCAGAGGTGTTTCTGGTCCCAAAAGGTGTTTCTGGTCCCAGAGGTGTTTCTGGTACCAAAAGGTGTTCCTGGTCCCAAAAGGTGTTCCTGGTCCCAAAAGGTGTTCCTGGTCCCAAAAGGTGTTTCTGGTCCCAGAGGTGTTTCTGGTCCCAAAAGGTGTTTCTGGTCCCAAAAGGTGTTTCTGGTCCCAAAAGGTGTTTCTGGTCCCAGAGGTGTTTCTGGTCCCAAAAGGTGTTTCTGGTCCCAAAAGGTGTTTCTGGTCCCAAAAGGTGTTTCTGGTCCCAGAGGTGTTTCTGGTCCCAAAAGGTGTTTCTGGTCCCAGAGGTGTTCCTGGTCCCAGAGGTGTTCCTGGTCCCAGAGGTGTTTCTGGTCCCAAAAGGTGTTTCTGGTCCCAA